TCAGCCGATTTTATCAAATCTTTGCCTAAATTTCTGTTTATAAGCCCGGCTTCGTTTTTAACGAAGTGATTTCCATATTATATTTTATAGTATCATTTTAAGGGTCATTCATCAGTACTTTTGAAGCGTTTAACTTTCAAGATCACTTGCTATTTATTTGGGGAGGCAATTCTATGTTGGCTTCGTAATTATCTATTCCATTTTTTTTGATTATTTTATGGCTTTATTTTCGAATTAGTAATAAATAATCATCAGTAAAAGTTATACCCCTTAGTTGACGTTGATTATTTGTCCCCCGCAAACTATTTTGCATAAGCTTTTACTACTGTCTCTCGTTTCTTTTGTTATGGTTTACCAACTTCGCCGTAGTTCACGGGACTTTTCGATTTTGATTTTTTGATTGTGTTCTACTAAATTTGGATCACTGTTTTCGTCAATTGAATTTGAGCCCTATCTAACCTTTTACCTCTCGAAGTTAGCCATATGAAAGGAATGCTACCTTAATTGAATAGCCTTGTGGCACGGCGATAAAGTAGATGGCGTTCTTCTGAATGTCGCTAATGTTCTCTGCCAGAATTTAGTTAAAAATTTAATTTTTATTAGATGGATATGTTATACCCTTTTGACGTCCTGTGCTGTTCCATAGAATGCCTTGGATATTTGCTGAGTTGCTAAGGCATACTTTTATATATTTCAGTAACTTAGCTTATTGTTATCAATAATTGATGTATAGTATCATATTTTCTTGAATTGTATAAAGCTTGGGAGATATAGCCGTATCGCTATCTGTCTATTTTTATGCGTCATGTTTCTCATGTTAATATTTCTGTTTTCATTCTATATAATGCTTTATAGATATATCTGCTTTATACATGCATTTTTAGAGTTATCTTATTGAACCTTAGTTGTCATCACCTATGCATTTTAATTGTCCTCTATTAACTCACTTCGATTTAATTATATTCTCATATCTATGGATCCCATTAATTTTTATTTATATGAATGGTCCAAGTGGATAATTATCGTTTGTCAGAGCTTACTAAAAGTCCATCGATTTGGTAATTTCCTAAAGTAGGTGGCAAGTAATCTGCTCAACCAATGAAAATAACTTCACAAAAATAAAGCAAATTCACATGAAGTTTCCATACAATTATAATTTATGCTATTTCATTGTGAGCTAAAACTATCCTCAACCAACGTGGCTACTAGATCTTCTAGGCTTGAGTCAGCTCGGTGCAACCCAAAGGATTGATAGTGATTATGGCATAAGTCTGAGGCACTATAATAGAACCGTTTACATATATCTCCTAACCAAAATATCTCGACGCCAAGAGAAACTTTAACATGCAAGTTCATTTTAAATAGTGACTGGTTAGTTTTGGTTGACTGAAACGGCCAACATTCTCACTCCCTTTATATTAATTGGGAACAATTATTGGAAAGTGAGGGGAGAATATCTTAGCAGTGGGATCAATATGTTACTGAATAAGTTCATTTGTTTGTACCTCTGTTGGCCTCTTTTATTTACGGAAATTATCTTATTGCGACTTCATGATAATAAAAAGACAGCTAAATTAATGCTAGGAATACTCTTTGATTGCGGTAGCAAGTATTGCGGTGAGCAGGAAATAAGCTATCGGAGCCATTGCTACTCCTCTGCCATTCAGGTTTGTATTCTCTTCTTAGACCAAATCCAAATGGCATAACATCTGCATAGGCGATTCCTGATGTATCTATTCTTAGTAAAAACAAAATTTAATTTAAAAAGTTTGGAATATTGCCACATATTGCAGTTCTGTACTTTGCCTTACTTTTTGCTCCTGCTGGGGACCTCTTTTGAACCCCTTCATAGCATTAATGATGTGCTTGAAAAGAGTTAAAGATAGGGATTTTTTAAATCCTCTACGTTCTTCCATGCTCTAGGAGCATCATAGAATACAGCTATTACCTGGATTTTGAGATTAAGTTCGGGACTTATATTCCCACAACGTGGCATAGTATGCTCCATGTAGTTATCGTAACTACTTAAATGACAAACTTGGCTCAAGGCAGAATACTAATTTGAGGATATCCCCACTTTCACGATAAATGTTAACTACCTTCCAAAGGCCCTCTCATTGATAGTTTGGGTTGATGACCTGAATCATTTGATGCGTTTAAAGTGTTTGCCTTTAGTTAT